AAAAAAAAAAAAAAAAGAGAAATTGGGCAACAGACAGGCTTATACCAAAAACCACTAGAACCTAAAGTAGACGCTTACAGTAAATATTAAGTGATATAAGCTAGACAGAGTCCAGTATTATCAAAGGCGAAAAGCGCCAAAAACTCTAAGGTATATTGGGGCTTTAAGCGTAAAGCGCAAATAAAACGCGAACTTTAATGAAGAAAGATCCAAATTGAGAAAAACTACAAATATGTATATGTAGTCCAAGACTAATATTTATAAGCATGAATACCAAATATATGGACAAAGAAAGGGAAGAAAATTTATTATAAAGTGAAATATCAATTGTTTACTGTTGCCTCTTCAGGATTGAGCTCATTGGCTAGGAAAAGTATGCCTTAGAGACTGATGACAACACTAAAGCGTCTGCTAAGTAAGGCGAAGGGCTCAACATGTTTGAGGCTCGCTCCAGGGCTTAAGCGCGCCTCTTGAGAAGACAGGTTGAGAGTGCTAAGGCCATTCCGTCCGGCATAAGCATCTGGATAATCTGGAATGCGACGTGGCATACCCGTATTTTCACAATCACAGTATAGGTAAAGGAGAACCAAGATGTAGAATAGCATAGTCAATGCTAGTTTTTGAAATGGAGAACGTCTCTTCTGTTCATATCAATAAGGTCTTCTGGCACCCGATTTTTATACCCGATTGAAGCTAAGCCACTAGGTTTACTTTTTACCTTAAGTTCTATACCTTTTTTTTTTTATGAGTAAAACCTCAAATTCTGAACTTTTCCATAGGCGATGCAGTTAGAATAAAATATGTGCTTAACACAACATATTCTCATTTCTTTTAGAGACCTAGCCATGGGTGACAAGATAAATTCACCATTGTCTAGCTGTTTTTCAGTGCATTGTTTTGAAGAAAGAGTATGAAGGATAGTTGCATACAGATATGTTAGAAAAGGGATCAGCTGTTATATTTGTTGTTCTTAATTTTCATTCCAAGCTAATAAGAGAACTGCGGTCAAGAGTAGGTAATTACTCCCCGGTCCAAAATAAGTGATTATTTTTAATATTTTCACACATATTAAGAAATGCACCTTTTAACATTAATTAACAATGAAATCGACCATATTAACCTTTACTATCTCACATAAACACTCCTAACACATACTCCAGCACTATTTACTCCAAGGGTAATGTAGGAAAAAATAATTAATTCATTCTTGAAATCTGAAAAAATCACTATTTTGGACCACAAGAAAAAGGCCAAAAAATCACTTATTTTGGACCGGAGAGAGTATTACACAGCACTCCCTCCGGTCTAAAATAAGTGATTTTTTTTGAATATTTTCATACAAATTAAGAAATTCACCTTTTAACATTAATTAGCAATGAAATCAACCATATTAACCTTTACTATCTCACATAAACACTCCTAACACATACTCCAGCACTATTTACTCCAAGGGCAATGTAGGAAAAAATAATTAATTCATTCTTGAAATCTGAAAAAATCACTTATTTTGGACCACAAGAAAAAGGCCAAAAAATAACTTATTTTGGACCGGAGGGAGTATTATACAGCACTCCCTCTGGTCCAAAATAAGTCATTTTTTTTTTGAATGTTTTCACACAAATTAAGAAATCCACCTTTTAACATTAATTAGCAATGAAATCGACCATATTAACTTTACTATGTCACATAAACACTTCTAACACATACTACAACACTATTTACTCCAAGGGCAATGTAGAAAAAAAAATAATTAATTCATTCTTAAAATCTGAAAAAATCACTTATTTTGGACCACGAGAAAAAGATCAAAAAATCACTTATTTTGAACCTGAGGGGTATATGTTATCTGTTTAAGGAAAGTCTACAGAGTAATTGATTACTGAGCCCTGTTAAAAAAGAACACCAGATCAGAACAAATCCAAAACCTTCAGTAGAAGCTCATAGCCATTTAACATCTTATTTTCTTTTTGCTTGAATTTCAATTATTACAGTTGACACCATACTTCAGTTGCCTGATCAGTTCTTGGCAACTTTCTTGTTTTCTCTCTCTCCCTGTGTGTGTGTGTGTGTGTTGCCTCATCACCGCTTTGCATCGTTGCTTTTTCTTCATTTGTGCCCCAAAAGCTAATTCACTCTCTGCTGCATTGACATGAGTAGTGACATTAGTTCATCTAGCAGCATCAACAAGTGCTCTAGCTGTTATTTAATAAGTTAAATACCAAAATGATTTATATTTCAATTTCCTCATAGATCAAAAGTGATGTATAGCAGTTATGATGCAAAAATGCCATGGTGAAGGAGCAACATATGATGAACATGAAGGAAAATGAAAGTCAACAATAAGTTAAAGCAATCACAGAAAGAGCCTGGTGAGCGATGTGGAAGGTAAACTACTCTCTCTCTCTCTCTCTCTCTCTCTCTTGCTCGCTCCCATCCCTAAACCATTTAATTCCCCGCAACAAGCTTAAAAGCAGCAGGCCGGGAATTACAGTTTTTTTAATGTATTAAAAGGAGAAGGGCAAACAAGAATGCAAAACCACTCAAACTCACCTGCAAAGAATCAAAAAGAAACTACTTAGTCGCACTTTGCGAATACGACTTATATTTCATTTGCGATTTGTAATCGTTGTTTGTTTAATGCGACTTATTATACCTGATACCTATTACATAAACCGTTTTAGTTACTTCGACTTATAAATGCATTTGACTTATAAATTACGTAGAAGAATACGAGTTACAAAGCACATTGTATGAATGCGACATATAAATCGGTTTAGTCTAATGCGACTTAAAATTGTAAACTGTGCGGTCACTGCGATTTATAAATCTCATTAGACTCTTATAAATCGCATTGCGTGAATATCGCTTTACCAAAATGCGACTTATAAGCAACTGTTAGTTGAAAGCGAATTATAAATCGCGTTAGCCAAATACTAATTGTAAATCGTATTTGATGAACACAAATCCTTTCGGAATATGGCTTATTTGCTATGAATTTCTCTATTATTTTTATTTATTTTAAGGAATGGACAAGTCTTTACGGAATCTAATTAATTATTGGTAACTAGTACATAAATTATATAAATAAATTGCTCAAATCTTGACTTTACGTCCTCATGAGTCACGTGACTCGCGTCTAGGTAGGTATAAACTTTTACTTTATCTGGCCAAATTTATGTGTTATATATATTTTTTAATTTATTAAAAAAAGAATATCATACTTTCTTATTTAAAAATAATGTCTCTTTAAATTTTTTACGGGATGATTTATAGCGTCACAAATATGTATGGTTTGCTTAAAACTATAAGTTTCAATAATCTTCATTTTTTTCTGAAATTTTGTGCGGAAACAAACATTTGCCATAGAACTTGAAGCAGATGGAATACTTTTTTTGTACTCTTTTTAAAAGATTGTCATAAAGGGGTTAAAAACTAAACACTGAAGTCTCACCAACACACGCTTCTTCTCGCAGGTGTTGAATGTTGATGCATATAACTCATACAATAATTTCAACACAAACAATAAAAATTTATATGCCAAAAATCACTAGCAATTCACATATATTAAATTTGAACGTACAATTTTAAAAATTTAATAAATTAAAAACTAAAAACCTTAAAGCTCAAACTCAAGTTTAAGTGATAGATTTTCTACTGGTCATAGACCTAGGGAGCTACGAGATCCACTCGACGCACCCATCCAGAGACGGCTGAATGCTCAGATTTCGACGATTCATGATGACAAGTTCCGCCCACCGAGCTCGCCCGAAGGCGATCCCCACGGACAGAGGGACTAACTGTATAGGTCAAAATCTGTCCGTAAGGCCGACATTAAAGGACGCAGTGAAAGGCCGACGTGACCATCAGAGGACCCATTAATTAAAGACCATTTGATAAAAAGGAATATGGGGATATAAATAGGGGGATCTTCCACAGAATGGGGATCCGAAAAAAGGAGGAAGGAGCCCTCCCCAGCTGATTCAGCAACAATCAAGCTAACACTCTCAAAGGGATATCCCTTTCCTTCTTATACGCATGGGCCTGGAACAATGCTTCAAAGATGTAAGTCTATCATCCGTGTTAGGCCCTTTTTGTAATTATCAGAAAAGTTCAATAAACTAGTGCCTTTTTTATATTCATCTTCAATGTAGTTCGATTTAGAGTCAATTATGTTTGGTTAAGATTTATTCTCTATTTCACTTTTGATTGATCTTGCAAAAAGCTTAAGCTAGTTTTTGTGCAAACAACACTTTCTTTTCAAGTCTTAAAATCTCCAGCTTTTTCATGGAAAATGCTTTTCCAAAAAATATTTTTTAATATTTGGTTGCTGAATGAAAAATATTTTTCGAAAAAGCATGCATCAAAGATTAAGTAAAATTAGTACTCAATTTTGCTAAAATTTTGAGTACTAAAGATTAATGATAGTGTTTAAGTGGAGCAAATAGCACGAAATGTAAAAGTTAAAGTTAGTTATGAGAAAGATTACTTTTTCGCATGTAAGGGAAGTTAACCCACGACAACATACTTTAAATTTGATAATCTAACACTAGAGATGGTTTCCTTATGAAGAATATTTCTCTGAAAAATAACTTGAACTTAACACAAAAGAGCACATTTAAAATGAAATAAAGAGTGGCCTTGAATGTTTGTTTTTCCTTCTTCTGGTAAATGAGTGAAGTTCAATGTTTCCATTTAAATAGGTTCAACAAATTAATAAATTATCCTTATTTACCCTGACAAACTTGTTAACCCTACGTATGAGTGCTATGCATGTATCTCTACTTGGTTTCATTGTGTTTCTTTGTATGAATTCAACTAATTTCTTTTGTTACCAGTAGTTTTTGTTGTGTGTTTAACGCTGAGGTAAATTGTAAACTTTCTGTTTTTTTGGTAATTCCAAATCGTCTCTGCTATATATTATGAAAATTGAAAGTAGCACTGATAATGAAATCGAGACCATGTGAAAGTTTAATGAAAGAACGAACGAACATTAGTTCTTAAACCATGTGATATAGTCATTCTTACTATAGAAAGCGATCTGAGAATACAGGTCCACCTGGAGAAAAAATCTCACTAAAATTTATATTAACTACCAAGGAGAGCTTTGTTACCAAAATGGTTCAAGAACATGCAGAGAAAATGACTCTTTGACTTCGAATTCGAATTCCCTCAACCATTTCAAGGAACATAAATACTCTCTACAGAAAGCCATCTAATTGGAAGAGATTCGCTTACACCTATCATGACATTAACACAGCAGCAATAAGTTCATCGTGTTGGTTCGTCAAGGTGAAGTTCAACAAAAAGAATTTGGAGAACCTGATAAATCCTATGTACTCTTTAGTTCCATGCACATTTGGGCAATATTCACTCTTCCACCTTCTTGCTTTCTGTTTCACTCTTCACACAATCTCCGGTACCTTGGGTAAGTAGGTGGCTCTTATAAAGTATGTCCAATTCGCGGAAATAGGGGCATGATCTGTAGTTTCTTAGACATGCCTTCCCACTGTCTATTGTCCTTTTATAGTACTTGTTAATGTTCTCCCAT